ACAGTAGTGAACAAAAGACTAAAAGCCTTACTCACAACACTTGCATTCTTGGGGGAGAAACATACAATAAACAAAATAAATAAGTATGTCTGATGGGAGAATTGATTTTAGATAAACCAAAGCAGGGTTGAGAGATAGAGTCTGCTGGGGTTACAATTTTAAATGAGGTAGTCAGGGAAGAACTCATTAAGAAGACAGCATTGGAACAAAGTCCAGGAAGAGATGAAGGAACAAGCTAAATGGCTGTCTGGAGGAGTGAGGGGAGAACATTCCAGACAAGAGAATAGGACATGCAAAGACCCTGAGGTAGGCACATGCCTGACATGCTCAGTGAACAGCGAGGAGGCCAATGCAACCAGAGCAGAGTGTACAAGGGAAAGAGTAGCAACAGAAGACAGCAGAGAGATAATGAGGTAAAGATGGGTGTAGGACCTTGTAAGCCAAGTATTGTAAGGATTTCGGCTGGTTCTAAACTTGACTCAAAGTCCATTCCAGAAACAGCATTCCTGTAAATTGCTTAATTATCTGGTAGAAACTGGTTTGTGGCACTTTTGCCAAAGCCTGCGTGATTACAGGTTTTCCTTGGCTCTGTTAAGAAAACCTACAGCATGTTGTTGTTGTTGTTGTTATGTGCCGTCGAGTCAGCCCCGACTCATAGCGACCCCTCCTTGGGTTTCCGAGGCAGTATCACTACGGAAGTAGGATTGCCCAACCTTCCTTCCGAGGAGTGGCTGGTGGGTTTGAACCGCCAGCCATCTGGTTAGCAGGCAAGTGTCTTAGCCACTATGCTACCATAAGACAAGATTATTCTTCAAGGTGGCAAGTCAGCTGTTCTAAACATGACTCAAAGTCCATTCCAGGAATGACATTCCTATAAATTACTCAATCATCTGATAGAAACGTGTTTGTGACACTTATTTGAAAGCCTACATGATCACAAGTTTCAGGGTATAAACCAAGACCCAGTGGATCCAGTTTCCAAAGGTGGAGCAGGGCAGCAGCCCTAAACAATCCAGTCCTCACACTGACCCTCTCATGATCCAAACAGACTCTGATTTCTCTTTTTTTTTTTCTTTGGTTTACCCTCTTTTTCCCACCCACCCCTGGTAACAAAGAATATTTCTTTTGCGTGTGTGAAACCCTTTTTTTTTTACTTTTTACAATAGTGGTCTCATACAATATTTGCCCTTTTATGATTGACTAAGGAGCCTGGTAGCATAGTGCCTAAGGCATTTGACTGCTAACCAGAAGACTGGCAGTTCAAACCCTTGGAAGGAAGGTTGGGCAATCTACTTTTGTAGTGATACTGCCTTGGAAACCCAAGGAGGGGTTGCTTTGGGTCGGATCCGACTCAGTGGCAGTGTGTTTGGCTTTTGTTTGATGATTGACTAACTTCACTCAGCATAAGGGGCTCTAAGATCGTGCATGTTCTGAGATGTTTCACAGATTCATCATTGTTCTTTAACGTTGCATGGTATTCCATTGTTTTTGCTATTGTGAATAGTGCTACGGTGAACATGGGTGTGCATATGTCTGTTCGTGTCATGGCTCTTATTTCTCTAGGATATACAGTGAGGAGTGGAATTGCTAGATCATATGGTAGTTATTTCTATTTCCAGCTGTTTAAGGAAGCACCATACCATTTTCCACAATGCTTGCACCATTTTACAGTCCCACCAGCAGTGTCTTGAGAGTTCTCCATATCCCCACCAGTATTTGTTGCTTTCTGTTTTATTGAATGTTGCTGTTATTGCCGGGGTGAGATGGTGTCTCACTGCTGTTTTGATTTGCATCTAATGGCTAATGCTAGTGAGCATTTCTTCATGTGTTTGTTAGCTAGCTGCCCGAATGTGTTTTTTGATGTGCCTGTTCATGTCCTCTGCCCATTTTTTAAATTGGATTGTCTGTCTTTTTGCAGTTAGAGTGTTGAAAATCTCTATAAATTGTAGAGATTATCCCCTTGTCTGACATGTTGTCGCCAAATTCTTCCCCCAGTCTATGGGTTCTCTTTTGACTCTTTTGGTGAAATCTTTTGATGCACATAAGTGTCTCATTTTCAGGAGGTCCCGGGTATCAATTCCAGACTTCAATTTCTTAAGGCAGTAAGTATCCATGGAGGATGGAATCATAATCAAATTTCCATTTGTAGCTTCTTGTAGAATGTATTAGGATAGCATAGGCTGACCAAAGAGCCAACAATAATCCAGTGGCCTGAAGATTACAGTGGTGGCTTAAAGAATATCGACTATGTCACGTAATAGCTCCAAGGTGAGCTGAAATTTCAAGCTGGTGGGAGACTCTGCTCTATAGGGTCATTCAGGGACCGAGACTTGACATCTGCCCCAAAAGATCCGCCATCTTCAACCCATGGCTTCCAGAATTGGTCTAGTTGTCAACATTGCAGCCAACAGGAAGAGAGAAAATATGTAGATCCAGACCCGGGATTCCCTCTTAAACAAATGAGATGGGAATAGTGCACTGCTCTTCACATTCTTTTCAAGAACCACCCAGCTACAGAATCACTGGAAAATGCGCCAATACCATGGCAGAAGGGGATGAATGAAGTTAGGTAGACAAGAAGTCTTCAGTTCAGACTTTCTTAAGGGGGACTTTACACAAGTACCCTGAGAACATCCACTGGTATATTCCTCCTCAGTCTTCCACCTGCCCCGTTCTTTGCCCTGTTCTCCCCTCTCTCCCCCCAAACATACCATGCAGACTTCCATCCCAGCCAGAAGGGACCAGCATGCTGGGCCAGTCTAAGACCACTGGAGGACCTGGAGTTTTCATCCACCCCCATCCTCTCTCATATCCAGCAGAGGAAAGTGGAAAGAGTGCCCTGGGGTGTGTGGTTCTTCTCCCATGCTGTTTTCCTTGCAAACATTCTTGTGAGGCACTTCTGGTGAATCAAATTCTCCACTTCATTACACAAGTAATTCAGGATGGCTGGAGCAAAGGTCGTTTATTGAGGATTAGCAGGGGATTAAGCCAGACAGGTAGACAGGGGCCAGAGCATACAGGACTTTATAAGTCTGCATTAACAGATCTTTATCTTTATCCAAAGTTCAAGAGGAAGCCAGGGCGTGCTTTAGGCAAAAGAGGGACTTGATCTGAGGGGTGTTTTAGGACGCTATTTACGTTATCATGGAAGAAATGGATAAAAGAGGATGAGAATGGAGACTGGGATACCAGTTGGAAGGTTGTTGCAGTAATCCTCTTGGGGTCTCAGTTTTCTCATCTATAAAATGAGGATGATAGTAGCACATACATCATAGGCTTGCGTGAGGATTAAAGAAGTTAAGGCATGCAAAGTGCTTACACCAGTGCCTGGTGCATAGTAAAATGGAGACAAAAGTCTGTTACCATAGAGTCTATTCCAAGTCATGGTGACCCCATGTGTTACAGAATGTAACTGCACCATAGGGATTTCTTCACTGTAATCTTAATGGAAGCAGGTCACCAGGCTCTCTGCTGCAGCATCACCAGGGGGCTTGAACTGCCAACCTTTAGGTTAGTAGACAAATGCAAACCATTTGCACCAGCCAGGGGCCTTGGTACATAGTAAGCCTTCAGTAAATATTGGCTGCTATTATTACTCAAAATGCAAGATGATGAGGCCTTCACCAGGTCATTTGGTGCAGAAATAAAGACAAGAACCTAGATTTAAGAGAAATATTAAAAAGTTAGAAACTGGAGGATTAGGTGATCGTGGTATCAAGAGAGGGAGGAGTCAGAGAGGGTTGCCAGTCACTGAGATGGGACTTCATAGGGAGTGGAGAGAGAAGTCTCCTTGAGTTTGAGATGCCATTTGACATCATCCAGGTGCAGTTTTCCAGAAGGCAGTTGAATATACTAGTCTTGAGGCCAAAAGAGAAGTTGGGCTGGAGATACAGATTTGGAGTCTTCATCATAACACAGTACTTAAGGCACAAGAGTGGGTGGAATTGCCTGGAGAGAATGGACAGAGACTGGAGGAGCTGCAGAAACTTCAATGGACGGGCAAAGAGAAAGAGCCCATGGTGGAAAAGAGCAGTGACAAGAGGTGGAGGGAAACCAGCTGAGGGAGAGGTCAGTGGTAGTAATGCTGCTAAGTGGTCAAGTCGGGTCAGGATACAGGAGGTTCCATTGGATTCACTGAAAAAACTCATCGGTGGCTTTGGTGAACATGGTTTCCATGGGGAAGTGGGAAAAGAAGCCAGAGGGAGGTGAAATGAGAAATGAGTGGAAGATGAGGACACGACGATAGTAAAGTGTAGCTACTCTTTCAGGAGTTTGGCTCTGAAGGTAAGGAAGAATCAGAGTGAACATGGAAGGAAAACGTAGGTTACAGGATGGAGAGATGAGTACGTGCTAATCCTGATGGGTCAGTGGCAAGAGAGAGTGAGGTAGAGATTGAAAGTCATGGCAACCCCATGTGTTACAGACTAGAACTGCTCCATAGCGTTTTCCTGGCTGTAATTTAATGGAAGCCTAGCACCAGACCTTCCTTGCATGGTGACACTGGGTGGGTTCAGACCACTAACATTGGGTTAGTAGTTGAGCTCAGATGATTTACACCATCTCGGGACATTTTGGGGTATGGGGGGCTTGGCAACAGTAACGTACCTGTGGATGAGAAAGAGTAAGGTCAAGAGTGCATGTGGCAGGTCCAGCCTTGGACACAGGAGGGGAGAACAGGAGACAAGAGAGTCACAGGGATTCAGGCAACCTTGATGGTGTTGAGGGAGGAGGTTGAGGACAGACGTGGATGTGACTTTGTAAGCCATAGACAGACCACCCATGCTTGAGGGATGCTGTCATTACACAGGGGAGGGCCCAGAGAGCCACAGGCAGACCCAGGAGTCCTGACCAGACTGAAGGGGAAATGGCACTTGGAAGGCAGGGGCTGCGCTCAGGGATGTCAAGGGAGAGTGCCAGGAGAATGAATGAGCATGTAGGGACTCAGAGATGAGCGGGCTGGTCTGGACTGAGCACACTGACCCCACCTTTCTCTTGTGCAGTGGGACTTGGTGTGTGGCTCCTACAAACTGAAGGAGGTTGCCCAGTCTGTCTTCATGGCTGGTGTGTTGATTGGCGGGATTGTGCTTGGAAACCTGTCTGACAGGTGAGATGATGGGGCCCTTGCAAGGGGAGGCACAACCAGACGACAACCATGTCCCACTCTGCTCCACCCAGGCGCCCTCAGCTCAGGGTGGAAAGGGGTGCTGCAGGTCCTCTCTGGGTGGCCTCAGGCAAGTCCCATTCACTCTCCGGCCACAGCTTTCTTTCTCCACCAAGGCCATTATAATACTTTGACTTCCAGCCTCCCCAGACCCAGGGGGAGGTCCAGGGTTTTCTGGCACGACATCATGGCCGTGGAGCCATGGAAGTGGTAAGACAGACTGCTCAGAGGTGGTGCTCCCTTTGCCCCCTGCTCAAGCTGCCAAGCCAGGGGTGGAGGCAGAGAGATCACTCATTAACTCGAGCCCCTAACTGCAAACTTGTTGGGAAAAAAAATAGCAATTACCAGCAAGGCTCTGAAGGGGAGCAAGCAATTATCAACAAGGGGAAGGAGCTATGTGCCTCCTGGCCCTTTGGGAGGTGGGGAGTCTAGCCCTTCACCCTGGGGACCTGCAGAGTCACTCGCCTTGGCAGCCACTGTGTAGCTAACACAGCCCCACCTCTTTGTGCTGCAGGTTTGGCCGCAAGACTATCCTGTCCTGGAGCTACCTGCTCCTGGCAGCCAGTGGCTGCTGCACTGCTTTCAGCCCCACCCTCCTCACCTACATGGTCTTCCGCTTCCTGACCGGCTGCAGCATCTCCGGCATTTCCCTGAGTACAGTGATCCTGAGTGAGTGGCGTGGAGGTGGCAAAGGAAGGGAAGTTTGGGAAGCACGAGGTAGTTAATAGACAAGGGTTCTGGGCCTGGCCCAACCTCAGGCTCCCTGAGACCTTGGTCAAGGTGCTGGGCCTCTCAGAACATGAGACCTCTTCTGAGCTTAACAACAAGCATATGATTATTGTTGTTGTTCGTTGCTGTCATCTCAATTCCAACTCATGGTGACCCCATGCATGCAGAGTAGAACTGTTCCACAGGGTTTTCACGCTGTGACCTTTTGGAAGCAGACCTCCACCAGGTCTATCTTCCAAGGTGCATCTGGGTGGGTTCAAACCACCAACCTTTCAGCTAGTAGTCAAGGACTTAACTGTTTTCACCTCTCAGGGACTCCTTCTAAACATATTAATAGCAGCTGTGTGGTGCCAGGAGGTTAGCAGTTCAAACCCACCAGCTGCTGTATGGAAGGAAGATGAGGCAATGTACTTCCATAAATATTTACTGCCTTGGAAACCCAGTGGGGGACATTATGAGTTGGAATTGACTCAATGGCAGTGGGAATCCATACTGACGACCTACTGGAGGCCTGACACACTGCTAAACAGGTAATCTCATTCAGTCCATGTGCACAAGTAGGTGATACTATAATCCCCATTTTACAGATGAAGAAATTAAGGCACGACAAAGGGAAGTCACTTGCCCCTGGAGAGGCAGTGGTCAAGTGGTCAAGGCTTGCAAGTCAGATCTAAGTTTGGATCCTACCTCCTTGAGCCTCAGTTGCAGCATCTGTAAAATGAGGATGATGAACTTTTAGGATGAAGGTCAAGTTGAGTAGCCATCAGGAAGCAGGAGGGAAATGCCTGGGACCCGGCAGGACTCTAATCTGGTCCTTGGACTCCTCCTTGCAGATATTGAGTGGGTGCCCACCCGGGCACGGGCCATCTGTTCGACAATGGCTGGGTACTGCTACACCATTGGCCAGTTCATTCTGCCTGGCTTGGCCTACGCCATCCCACAGTGGCGCTGGCTACAGTTTACCGTGTCCATTCCCTTCTTCATCGTCTTCCTGTGGTCCTGGTATGTGGTCCCCACCTCTCTACCTGCTTCCTTAGATCCACCAGGGCCAAACGGGAAGCCCATGCCTGACCAGGCTGGTCAGCTCTGTCTGTCCCTGGACACTGCTGCCCCAGGGTCAGGGAAGGGCATTCTAAGGAGAGAAACTTGCACAAGTAAAGGCAGGCAGAAGTGGGAGCAGGTTCCAGGGGACCTGCAGCTGAAGAAGGTGAGTATGTTGAGATGGACAGGATGGAGCTCAGAAAGCCAGGAAGGCTGCAGGTTCACATGGAGGGAGAGGGGAAGCCATGAAGTATTTCTGGTGGTGAGAGGCCTGACCAAGATTTCATTTGTGAACAATAGTCCAGAAGGACATATCCAAGTGGTCAAGATAAGGGGTGGGCACAAGAAACTGAAGGGAGGTGATTGGGGAGGCAGGAGAAGCCTGGCGACAATTCTGAAAGCCGTCTGAAGGAAGAAGCCACAGGATTTGGGGACTTCCATATCTGAGGTGGAAAAGAAGGGAAAGCTCCCCGAGGAGCCCCAGCTTGTTTGAGGTCAAAGGTGAGTTCCGTTATCCACATGTCAAATCTGAGAACACATGGAGGACAGAAGAAGAGTAGAAGGTAGTTGGAGGCAGGAAATCAGGGGAAGAAATGAAGTCTTAGAGCTCCACTTTACTGAGCATTGACTATGTATGTCTGGGCCCTGTTCTGGCATTGACCTACCTTGTGTCAGATCCTACAAATTATCCCCATTTTACAGATGAAGAAACAGAGGCTCAGAGAAATGAAGCAAGTCCCTGAGATTACACAACTGGGGTGGGAGCTCAGCTTGGAAATAATACGAATAGAAACTCTTAGATACTGTTATTTGCCCTGGAGTTGATTCTGACTCATGGGGACCCCGTGTTTGCAGAATAGAACTGCTCCACAGGGTTTCCAGGGCTGTGACCTCTCAGAAGCTGATCTCCAGGCCTGTCTTCTGAGGTGCCTCTGGGTGGGTTCAACCAACCAAGCTTTCAGCTAGTAGCCAAGCCCTCATTGTCTGCAGCACTCAGGGAGTGGGAATAGAAGTTCACAGAGGGTGTGGGCAATCTGAGGATGAGTGAGTGAGAAAGATGTGCAGAGGGATGAGAACGGAGCGGGGAAACGTCCACTGCTCCATCCCAGGACGGAACAGAGAAGGAGCAGTTGGAGAGTCGGAGGTGAAATATGGACTGACGGTCAGGAGTCCAGGCAAGAGTCAGGCTCCTTCATTGTGTGGCTTCAAGTCAAGTCTCAGCCAGTCTGAACCTCAAGATTTTTCTAGGTCAAATGGAGGTAACAATGGCAGTCAGCAGTTTTGTGTCCCCAGCACTAGGAAGGCTCACTAATTGGAGGCCACTGTTGTTATTATTCTCAGGGGTGGGGGAGGTGCCCTGGGTGTGGGTTTGGGGGAAGTCACTGATAGTTTTGCTGATAGAGGCTTAGTAGATTATCAGGGCACAAAGGGAGACCACAAGGAGGCTGGGTAACAATGGGCCTAGGAAGCTGCCACTATCAGCTGGGTGGAGTGGTCTGAGGCCAGGTGACCAACTTCCACTCCCCTGAGAGCCTCACTGGAGCCAGGTCCTGGGTGCCTACAGGGCAGGGGCCACAGCTGGAGGTCCAACACCATTCCTTTTCCCTCACACCTCTACCTCCTCCATTCCTCTCTTCCTAGTGACCCTGGGAGACTGCTCAGGGGAAGTAACCACAACAGAAGAGCTGGGAGGAAGGAAGGGACAGGGCAGCTGCCCTCTAGCCAAACCCAAGACCGCTTGGCACACCCCATGCTGTACTCTCCACCCAACAGAGTTTATCCTTTGCAGGGAGAATGGTTGTTGTTGTTGTTAAGTGCCATCGAGTCGTCGAGTCGACTCATAGCGACCCCTCCTTGGGTTTCCAACCCCTCCTTGGGTTTCCGAGGCAGTATCACTACAGAAGTAGATTGCCCCATCTTCCTTCCGAGGAGTGGCTGGTGGGTTTGAACTTCCAGCCTTCTGGTTAGCAGTCAAGTGCCTTAGCCACTATGCTACCAGAGCTCAAACCCATGCTCTGGACCAAAACCCTCACCTTAGCCCCAGATCCCTTCCCAAGCTATCCCAGGACTGCAGCTATGCCCCTTCTTCACCAGAGAGGCTGAAGACAAGGCTCAAGGAAGGCTGAGAAGGTGGACAGATGTGCAGGACCCTCCAGCTCTCCAGCCTTGGACATGCTGTCCCCTCCTCAGGCCCCACCTGCCTTGGCTTAGGTCCTGGGGCTCCTAGCTAAGGAAGATACCCAAAGATAACAAGCAGCCCAGGTGGGGGGCACAGGAGGAGCTCTTCTGGAAGGAGAAGAGAATGCTGGGATTTGTGCCAGCTCCAGCTAGCCCAGGTGCAAATTTTGGCCAAGTTTAAATTCCATGAAATCTGCAGTAAGACAGCTCCGATTTCTGGGCCCCCAACCCCTTGGCCCCTGGCTGTTGATGTTCTCTCAGCCCCTCAAAGGGGGTTCTGGGATGGGGAAAAGTGCTGCGACTTGATTCTGGGCCCCTAGGTGGGTAGCAGAGTCTGTTCGTTGGATGATCCTGTCCGGAAAGTCCTCGGAGGCCCTGAAGATACTCCGGTGGGTGGCCACCACCAATGGCAAGAAGGAGGAAGGAGAAAAACTCAGCTTGGAGGTAGAGGCTGCAAGGGGTTGTGGTTTGCAGGTCAGGACTCCTGGGCTCTCCTCTTGGGTGGTTCCCTCTGCTGGCATCTGTTCCCCCTGCTCCCAAGCCTACATCCTAACTGGTCCTCTGAGGAAGTTCCTCTGGAGGTGCCAGGCCTGTATGTACTTCCTGCCCACCAGCTGGTCACTAACAGCACTCCTCTCCCTCCTCTTCCCAAGGAGATCAAACTCAGCCTGCAGAAGGAGATCTCCTTGGCCAACTACAGCACAGCTGACCTGTTCCGGACGCCCATCATGCGCCGCGTGTCATTATGTCTTTCCTTGGCCTGGTAACCCACCACCTCTCCCTGCCCATACCCCAGCACTTCCGTCAAGGTAGGGGTGATGGAGAAGGCCTCCTGCAGGCTCCTTGAGACACAGTCAAGGGCATCTACAAGTGGAATCAAGTACCCCCCTCCCCTGGGCCACCCAGTCCAATCCTAGGCCCCAAATCCACTGCATCCCTGCCCCACACCCAGGCCTAGCCACCAGGGTCTGCTTCTCTCTAGGGTCATGCTCTCCCCACCTACAGGGCAAACACTTCAAACCCTTCACTAGCTCACTTCCCAGCCATGGAGCTTTCTGGCTGCTAAGCCTCTCTGTCACTGCCCACATGGGCCTGGCTCTGCCCTTTGGGACCCCTTAGAGCAAAGCCACCCTCAGGGCTTCAGACTTAAGAATGGAAATTGTGTTTCTCCTGAGTCTTCTCTTCTGGTCCCTTTTGTGACCTGACGCTGAGGGCCTTCTTCATCCTGGCCTTCATCCAGGATCAAACGTGTGGTCCAGGAATGCTTCAACCAAGATCCCAAAATTCTGAGCGGGGGCATCTAGCCCAGGAAGACAGTTTAACTTTCACTCCTCACACACTGAACATTAAATTCCTCATCAGGCAACTCCTACCCAACCAAGAGAGATCATTTCCTGGCTCCTTTGGTTTCCTACCAGTCCCTGGGTGGTGCAAACATTTGTATTCATCTATTAACCTAAAGGGTGTCAGTTCAAACCTACCCAATGGCTCTTCAGAAGAAATCCCTAGCAAGCTGCTCCCATAAAGATTACACCCAAGAAAACCCAATGAAGCAGTTCTCTGTAACACAAGTGGTCACCATGGTCGGATCGACTCGACAGCAATGGGTTTGGCTTTTTGGTTTGGTCTCTAAGATTCCTTCCAGTCCTGCTATTCTTTGGAGTCAAACACCTCAGATCCAGGCCCATCTCTGCCATAACCAATCAATCACTTGCCCACTGAGCCCCTACCAATTGGTTGTAGTCAGCACAAGAAGTGAAACTCCACATCTTCCTGGTGACCCCTGTGGCCAGTAGGAGAGGCCCCAGCCTGGCTGTGAGTCTGACCAGCCCTTCTCTGCTCCTCAGGTTTTCCACTGGTTTTGCCTACTACAGTCTGGCCATGGGTGTGGAAGATTTTGGGGTCAACATCTACATCCTCCAGATCATCTTTGGGGGGGTCGACATCCCAGCCAAGTCCATTACCATCCTCTCCATGAGCTATCTGGGTCGGCACACCACTCAGGCTGCCTCTCTGCTCCTGGCAGGAGGAAGCATCTTGGCCCTCATCTTTGTGCCCTCAGGTGAGAGGCTAGGCTACCCCAGAGCCCTCAGAGGAGGGTGAACTGCACAGGCCCAGGAGTCCATGGGCATCACAGGCCACCACAGGTTCCTTCAAATTCACCACCATGTTACCTTGAGCAGGATTCTGTAGACTCTGGGTCTCAGGTCTTCTCTCTGGAAAACAATGCAATCAGATTAGATGATACTGGAACTCTTTCTCAATCTGACAGGGACTGGGCAGTGGTGTCTGAACAGTGTGAGGAACTGTTTTAGGATTGGGCGTGTCTGTGTGATGTCAGTGGAGAAGACAAGTGGAGATGGGGAGAAAACTAAGCCCGGTGCTCAAAAAAGACACCGCAACGTACTCCATCAAGGCCTTGAAAAGCCACTTGTCTTTTACATAGATGCTTGTTTGTTAACAAAACCAGCTCCTCATCTCCATCATCCCTTAAAAGGTGATGTCCTTCAGAATTTCCTAGGTCCCTCAACGGTCCTCACCAGCACTGTCCGGCGTGTCCTTCTAAAGAGATTTGAGCCATCTTAGGACAAGAGCATATATATCAAAATATAAATGGGAACAAGAAATCAGAGCCAGGGAAAAACACAAACAGCAGGAAACAAGCCAGCAAAGCATTGGAATTAGTAGAGGAGCTATTACTCAGCTCTCAGTTTGTATCTGAGCTTCCTGGCAACCAAAGCAAAAAGGGAGACAAGGTCATTTACGGAACTCCTGTTATCAAAACCAAGTTCTCCTAGTACTGAAACTTTACAGAACTCTTTCCTGAGAGACTCAGGCTGACCCGATGTCCTTGACACCTTCAGTACCATCACCTGTCTGTCCTCTGCCCTTCCGGGACTGTGAGGAGGATCACGTGGGCTAGTGTAAATGGCAGGGCCTGGTCCACAGCAGTTTGACTGGGAAGGTTTGCTAGGTGATGAGAACATTCGGGTCCTCCCCCAGCCCAAGGCCCAGGCGTTTTCTTCCCTCTGCAGACCTGCAGACCGTGAGGACAGCGCTGGCCGTGTTTGGGAAGGGGTGCCTGTCTAGCTCCTTCAGCTGCCTCTTCCTCTACACAAGTGAGCTGTATCCCACCATTATCCGGTAGGTGCTGGGGCTGGGCCCAGCCAGAAGACACAGCGTCAGTGCTACTGTGGCTTTCTCCTACCCTCTGCCCAGGGGTCCCAGGGCTGGCCTTTAAAAACCCCACATCCAGGCTGCCAATCCCTGCTCTGAACCCTCCCAGGCAAACAGGTTTGGGCATGACTAACCTGTGGACCCGCGTCGGCAGCATTATAGCCCCAATGGTGAAGATCCTGGGTGAGGTGCACCCTTTCATCCCCAACATCATCTATGGGGTCTTTGCCCTTCTGGGAGGCAGTGCTGCCCTCTTCCTGCCTGAGACCCTCAATCGGCCCTTGCCGGAGACCATCGAAGACATGGAAAACTGGTCAGTCCCTGCCTCAGGCCCTTAGTTCCTCCTAAGGGAAGCAGGGCTGGGCCCAGGGCTTTGACTCAGTCCTCACTGTCCCCAGGTCCCAGAAGGCAAAGGAGACAGACCAGAAGTCAGAAGCAGAAAGGGCTTTCCAAAGGATCCCTCTGCAGGCCTGTGACCCAGACCTTGTCCACAGCTGAGGGCGACGGAACCCCTTTCCCTGCCCTCCAGAGACTGGTCCCAGCCAGGGCCTGCCTGTGTGTGGGCTCCTTGGACATCCTGGGCTCCTGAAGACAAAATCAGAGAGTTGGGTGAAGGGTTCCCCACCCCACCGCCACCAGAGCCCTCAGCCTAGCCCTGGCCAGTTCAAGGGTTCTTCCCCAGGTCTCCCCACACCACCCTCCCCTCTCTTTCCTTCCTACAGCCTAGGCCCTTCCTGACTGTCTCAGCCCCCACCCTCTGAGAGTTCCTGGGGCCCCTGGCTCAGACATGGGCACCCAGAACAAAGATGCTTTCCGTTCTAATGCCCTTTCTCCAAATCAGCCCTGAGGGAGAGGAGGTTTCAATAAAGAGTGATGATGAACTCAGCCACCCGAATGATGGGCTGGGGAAAGGGACAGGCCACCGTGTGGATGTGTGAGCAGGCACATCCTTACATGTGTGCTTGCATGTGCACACAGGGGTGGGCAAGCTGGGCTGATGTGAGCATGTGCATACAGTATGCACCAGTCCTATGCTCGGAAATGTCACCTGTGTGTTTCCATGTCCCCGCATGTAAGCGAGCAGATGATGGAACACAGCCAGGGTGGCTCCTCCAATCCTGGTCCTCCTTCCCTGATCACATGGTCTCTGTCCATGCCCCAACCCTAGACCTATCACACAGCCTTGTCTCCTCTTTCATTCAGGAAACTACAGCCATACCTGAACACTGCTGGCATTTGTGCCAGGCACCCAGAGTGTGCCCTCTGTTCATAGCAGAAGGGCAAGTCCTCCCATAGGGCTCTCCTCCCACCAGCAGCCCCCATGGGTCTCTGCCCAGTCCTGCTTTCCTGATTTCTTCCCATCTTAACCAAAACCAAAAAAAAAAAAAACACCCTCCTTGGCCTCCACACCTCCCTCCAGAGCCACAGTCTCTTTCTCCCCTTCACAGCCAAACTTCATGACCTTAAAAACCAAACTCCATATCATTGAGTAGATTCTGACTCATAATGTCCCCCGTTGGGTTTCCAAAGCTATAAATCTTCACAGAAGCAGACTGCCTCATCTTTCTTCTGCAGAGCAGCTGGCAGGTTTAAAGCACCAACCTTTTGGTTAGCAGCCAAATGCCTTAAGCACTACACTACCAGAGCTCCTTGTAAACTTCATGAAGGAGCTGTCTATGTCCCCTGCCTCCAAGCTCATCTATCTGCCCAACGTACTCATCCCTCTACTGATACTGCTTCACAAGGACCTAATCACTTCCCTGTGCTGAAGAGTTTGCTCTTCACGCGTCCTCGAAGTTGGCCTCTCAGCTGATTGGGCCATACTGGCCATACCTTCCCTAGTTCCTGAGATACCCATGCTTGCAGCTCCCTCCATCCTCTGGCCACTTCTTCTCAGGCCCCTTTGGAGTTTCCTGTAAATGCCACCATAGTCACCTTCTCTGAGGGTCTGTGTCCCCAGAACCTGCCTACTGGACTGTGACTGATCCCACACGCCTGGTTTTATCTGACCGCACCAGGGAGAACTCCTGATCCAAATCAGGTTACTCAGATGTTCTCTTCTGGGCTGGGATGTGAGACCCAAAGTTCTAGTCCATCTCTTGGACTAGTCCTGGGAAGTCAAGGTAATGTGAGGCTGAGCTGGCCCCGATGCAAGCAGAGCACAGAAAGCCAATTGCAGAGAGAGAACATAGTGAATCTACAAAGAAAACAGAACAAGAGACAGTGTAGGCCCAGGTGAGAACTGGTGAGGCCACTGCATTGATTCTTCATGGATTCAGGTCCCAGCTTCTCACCAGCCTCGGATTCACTCTCTGCCCCTGGGAGAGAGCAAATATCTCTAAATTCTCTCAATAAATTCTCCTTTTTGTTCAAGCTAATTTGAGAGGTTCTATGCCTTGTAACCAAAGAATATCAAAACCCAGCTCCTCATCTTTATCATTCCTTAAAAGGTGATGTCCCTCAGAACTTTCCTAGGTCCCTTAACAGTCCTTACCAGCACTGTCCAGTGAATATAACGCCTTCTGACCATGTGGCCAAAGTAGGTTTCTTCCTACTTTGTACTTCCTACGAAGTCTGGGCATTCTCACTTCTAAGGAGCATTCTGGCTGCACTTCTTCCAGGATAGATTGGTTCGTTCTTCTGGCAGTCCATGGTATTTTCCGTATTCTTCGCCAACACCACAATTCAAAGACATCAGTTCTTTTTCAGTCTTCCATATTCATTGTCCAGCTCTCACATGCATATGAGGCGATTGAAAATACCATTGCTTGGGTTAGGGGCACCTTAGTCTTCAAAGTGACATCTTTGCTTCCTAACACTTTAAAGAGGTCTTTTGCAACAGATTATGATGTCTGATTTCTTGACTGCTATTTCTATGAGCGTTGGTTGATTGTGGATCCAAGTAAAATGAAATCTTTGACAACTTCAAGCATGATGTTGCTTACTGGACCGGTTGTGAAGATTTTTGTCTTCTTTACGTTGAGGTATAATCCAGACTGTAGTCTTCACTAGGGCTCTCTGAAATTTCTTATTATTGACTTCAAAAAGGTAATAAATGAATAAGGTGAAACTTTATCCAAGTATTACCATTTCAATATCTAAACAATATAAAAATAATTGAGAGATTTTACATTCTTTAACTCATACTAACTTTGCAAAATCTGGTGTGTTTTACACTAACTGTCATTGTTGTTGTTAACTGCCATTGAGTCAGCCCCTAACTCATAATGACCTCATCACAACAGAACGAAACACTGTCTGGTCCTGCCCCATCCCCTGAACTGTTGCTTATCACACCACGGGATCCATAGCGTTTTCACTGGCTGATTTTCAGAAGTAGATCACCAGGGCCTTTTTCCTAGTCCATCTTTGTCTAAAAGCTCTATTGAAACCTGGTCGGCATCATAGCACCATGCAAGCCTCCCCTGACAGCTTGCAATGCAACCTCAGTGTTGTGCGTGAGACACATTGGTTGGAAATCAAACCCGGGTTTGCCACCAAAAACATAAAAACCCATTGCCATCGAGTGGATCCTTAGCAACTCTCATTGGACTTCCAAAATTGGAATTCAGAGAGGGAGAGTGCTTGCAGGTGCCCATCTTCTCCCCCACTGCCCTCAGACCCCACCCACTTCCCATGAAGGCAAGAGACTAGTCCTGCAGTTTCCAATGGAAGCAGCTTGTCTCATCTTCCTCCTGTGGAGCAGCTGGGGGTTCAAACCATCTACCTTTTGGTTAGCAGTCCAATCCCTTAACTACAGTGCATCTCAGTTAAGACCAGCTCAATTCCGATACACCATATGGGGTAGCGCAGACACACTCATCCATTCCAGCACTTTGAGGATCTGCCCCAGAGCTGTTGTTGTTGTTGTCACGTGCCGTCGAGTCAGACCTGACTCATAGCAACCCCTTCTTGGGTTTCCGAGGCAGTATCACTACAGACGTAGATTGCCCAACCTTCCTTCCAAGGAGTGGCTGGTGGGTTTGTACCACCAGCCTTCTGGTTAGCAGTCAAGTGCCTTAGGCACTATGCTAAGCTAATTACTCTCAAATCTGTGTTTAGAGATTTAAGAGAGAGCTTCATCCTCATCAGAGAGATTCTGTGGCACCCCAGCCTCACCCTTGTGGTGGCTTCCCTTTGGTGGCAAGTCTAAGCTCTGAAACAAGGCTCATCATGATCAGGCCCCAAACGTCTCAACAGCTTTAGTTTTTAACACCTTGCACCCTGCAAGCCAACCTTGTCCAACTTCTTCCAGCTCCTAGACTGGACCTGCATTCTGTTCTCTTGCCCTTTGCACGTGTCCAGTACTTGACTTCTCCCCACCCCAACCACAGTACACTTGGCTCATTCTAACTCATCTTCAAAGCCTTGGTTTGGATAATTTTCTCCAAAATGCCTTGTGAGTCACACTTCAGTGCTGGCTGACTGGACCAGGAGGCATCCTGATCCAAATTGGGTTAATCACGTGTTCTCTCCTGGGCTGAGATTTGACACACACAGGTTGAGAGTGTGAGTTACCTGTCTCTGATTATCAATCACACTGGACTGTGGTTGCAGGTTTATCTGTCTCTCCTGTCTTGGTGTGAGCTCCCCCAGATCTGGCCTTTGCCCTAGTGGTTATCAGGCCCATTTGCTATAGAATTTTTTCCTTGGAATCTAGGACCAACTGACAATAGGGCTAGCAATACCTGGGTCTCCCCCTGAAAGAAGAAGAACTAGAATCAGAGAGGAACCATTGCCCTCCCTCCCCAGTCCCCATCTTTCAAGAATTTAGGATGGCTCCTAGATGTCCTGGCCATGACTATTCCTATGCTGTTTCAGGGTGTTCATTGCAGACAAGTCCTTGGGTGGCACAGTGGTTTATGTACAGCTATCAACCTGAAGATTGGCGGTTCACCCCAGCAGCATTGCAGAAGAAAGACCTGGTGATTGGTTCCATAAAAATTATAGTTAAGAAAACCTGATGGAGTGCACTTACACTCTGCAACACGTGGGGTCATCTTGAGTTGGAATCAACTCAATGTCAATGGACTTATTGATTTTGGTTTTATTGCAAAGACACCCAGGAAAGATACGAGGAAAGCACCTCCCAGTCACATGGTCAGGGCTCATGGTGAACTAGGATGCTGGTCAGGAGGTACTGGCCCCCCAGATGACCATGCTTGCCATCCTCAAACTCCATTCTGGATTCCATCATCTCGCCATCTCTGCTTATTCTTCTCCAGCTCCTCCTGTTTCACCTGCTTTCTTCTCTGTCACCAGCAGGGCCTCCAACTGGTTTATGGAATCACCATCCAACACAAAGCACCTCTTTGAGGCAGAGTCATCATGTTGGAACACCTCGTTTGTTACTGGCCGCATAGTCAGCCTTGAAATGACAGTCTTTAGATGAATTCCTAATTTCCGCACCATTCATCAACCAAAGTGGCCAGGTCACAAAGCACAAAGCACACAGTGTGGCTTCTTCCTCAGAATGTAGCTGGGGCTTTGCAGGTGCCTGGAGCCAGCCAGACTCCTCTCCAAGTCAACCATTTCAAATCCACATGTAGGACATGTGAAGGTTTCCTTTGATCTGTAAGTTATTTATTTGAAAAGTCTCACACCCTAATCAAAAGCAGAAGCACGTACAGTCACTCATTTTCAATCCTATGTATTTAACAGAATAAATCTGTACAAAATCAAGACTGGTCCCAGAAAATCTAGGGCCTGGGATGGCTACTAGTACAGTGGAAAGAATAAGGGAATCAAGAGAGATGAATTCTGAGTCTGATTGCTGTGTGATCATGAGCAAGTGCCTGGAGTACGTGAGGCCTCTGTTGCCTTATCTGCACAATGAGAAGTTTTCACTGGAGTGACGGAACTCAACTCTGCAGCTATGTGGTTCTGTGGCTCTTGGCCAATGAGGAAGTCCCCAGATTTGACCCCTTCTCAGTGAGCATGGCCAGAACTTAATTCCACATTCCAATCAGCACAGGGGCATCCAATTCTGAGTATCTAGTGACCCAGAAGATCCCTAAGGGGTAGTTTCCAGATCCACAAACCATTTGCCAAGGAAGCATTTCTATTCCAAAATCCTCCTGGAGCTGGGAACTGGTGGCTAATCCCCTTGCCACTCTGATGGTCACAGGAGCCAACCATGACTCAGTCCCTGCAGTCCCTGCAGTCCCTGCTGGAGCCTTTTCTGGACTCAGCCTGACTTGGAGCTGGCCAGGCACCAGGGAGGGAACTCTTCTCCAAGGCAGCACTGAGCACAGGGCTCAGAGAGGGGTGGTGCTTGCAGGGGCCCGTCATCTCCCGCACCGCCCTCAGACTCCACCCACTCCCCATGAAGACACCAAGTCCTGGCAAGAGACTGGTCCTGCAGTTTATAAGATGTTTGTCCAGCTGTCCTTACATCCCCAGGTCATAGAGCTCTTGTATACTTTGGCCTAGAGAATGTTGTCAGGCATCTGGACACCCACTGAGTCCCAGCCTAGAACCAACACAGGGCAGGAGGAGGGAGGCCGGGCTAGCCATATCCCTCTCTAGGCCTCCTCTCTATCCTCTTCTATACATACAAGACCAGATGATCTCCAGGGCCCTTTTAGCTGAGCAGTCTACACCTCTAAAGCAGCAGAGAAGAGCCTCAGGTTTGCAATTCGACAAAGTAGGCTTGGACGAGTCAATAGTCTAAGACTTCATGAACAATAAACATCCCCCTCACTTAACACACAAAAATGTCATTTGGATAAACTGGAATGATAGATAACAGAGATCTTGACTTCTAACAGGAAGAGTCAGACATCAAACCACTTCCCCTCAACAGCAAGACTTGGAGATTTCTGCCCTGAACAATGGAATGATAATTGTCACTTCCTCCCCATGGTCATCTGTATCCCCAACTGTGTATCGTACCTGGGGAACCTCCTGTAAAACTATGGAACCCTAATCATTCATTGTGTTCAGACATCTACCAGTATATGTAGAGGGACAGTCAGGAGCCAGGTTACAGAGACCCAACAGGAAAACATACCATCAAGAGCAAAGAAGAGTCTAGCATAGTGAGTGAGGCCCACAATCAAGTCAGAGCATGGTGGAGAGGAGTGTTGGCCCGGGTACAGGGCGAATGAGGTCCTGTCCTGGGAGAAAGGGGCTGGCTGGGTGTGGGTATGGAAAGAGCGCCTATACTTTGGAGTCCAGGCTACTTTGTTGGATTGAAGCAGAACAAGGAGATGTTCTCTCCTCATCTTGCAAAACTTTTTCCCCACTCAACTGAGAGCACAGGAATTCTTTAACATATTTTGGTAGAAGTCTGTATGACAGCACTTTCCTTAGTCAGTCAGAACTGACCACTATACAAAATAAGTTGGGGGTGTCTTCTAGAGCAGGGTTTTTCAATCTCTGCTATTGGTATCTTGGGACCAGATAATTTTTGTTACAGGGAGCTGTCCTCTGCATTACAGGATGTTTAGAAGCATCCTTAATCTCAATCCCTAAACACCAGTACCAATTCCCCACCCCCAAGTTGTGACAATCAAAAATATCTCCAGAATTTGGCAAATGTCCCAGAGGGTGCCAAATAACTCTCAATGGAGAACCATGGTTTTAGGTTGAGATGTGCTTAGATATATTTCCTCTATAAAATTCATTTGATAGAAAAAGCTCATGTTTTTACCAGAAATACATAGTAAGAACAGTAAGTATCCACTGAACTATGGGACAAGTTTAAGCTCGTCACATGTATTAACTCATTTAACCCTCCAACAACCCAATGAAGTGGGCATGACTATTATCTCCATCTGGCAAATGAGGACATTGAGGTGCAGAGTGCCCACAGTTACACCACCAGTAGGTGTGGCTTGATCATTTGGATCAAAGCAGGCTGACTCCAGAGTCCATTTTATATATTATATATACTGTGCCAAAATGAGAAGCTGTGACCTGCATCCTTGGCATTCTCAACATGTTCCAACCAATCGGATCCCGTGAAATCCCATGTAATCCAGAGCGCAACACTGCCCTGGACCAGAATCAAGAACCGAACTGTTGGAGAAATTAAAGTAATGATCCAAGGATTGGGCCTAAAATGAGTAAGTTCATGCTCATTGTGAAAGTAAAACTATGGACAGAGACCACATGACAATGAGAGATGCTTTTTAATTTGGGGTAATCAAGAAGGTGAACGCTGAGTCGCTGGGAGAATCAACCTACATCACATACCATGTTGACTTAGGTCCTGCTCCTTCAAGAGCAGCCTCTGACTGCTGTCATTTCTTCCAAATGAACAAAGCTGTGATCCTATACAACGTGAGCTGACTCCAGAAGACCAAAGACTAGGATTGCCAAATTTAACAAACAGAAATACAGGGCACCTAGTTAAAGTCTAATTTCAAATCAATGAATAATTTTTTTCAGTACAACTGTGTCCCTAGTAGTGCATGGGGCTGGCAGCAGTGCTGGTTCAGTGGTAGATTTCTCACCTTCCATGCAAGAGACCCAGGTTCAATTCCTGGCCGATGAACGTCATGCACAAGCACCGCCCATCTGTCAGTGAAAGCGTGTTCGGTTGCTGAAGAGATCTCAGTGGGGCTCCCAAAGTCCCAGGGACTAGGAAGAAGGGCCTGAAGCTCTGCTTCCAAATATGAGCCAGTGAAAATCCTACGGATCACAACAGACTGACCGTGGGGACGGCACAGGGTTGAGTTGTCCGTGGGATCGCCAGGAGTCAGGAGCTGACTCAACAGTACCGACAACCACAACACTGCACGGATCATCCCACTGCCACTGAGTCAATTCCAACTCATAGCAACACCACTTATACTGAAAAATCACTTATTGGCCTAACATTCTAATTTAACTCACTGCTGTCGAGTCGATTTCGACTCACAGTGACCCCTCCTTGGGTTTCCAAGGTGGTATCACTATGGAAGTAGATTGCCCCATCTTCCTTCCGAGGAGTGGCTGGTGGGTTTGAACCACCAGCCTTCTGGTTAGCAGTCAAGTGCCTTAGGCACTACACCACTAGAGCTCCCAACATTCTAATTTAACTGGGTTTCTATCTGGCAACCCTACCCAAAGACAGACTATTTGGGTCCTGTCCACCAAGAAGGCCAGAGACCTCGTAAGAAGCCACCACACTTCCCAAAGCCTCGTCTCCCCGTGAAAGGGAAGAGGAAAGATCTCGCTCTGCCGCTCCTGCTCTTACACATCCAGATGGGCCCTTCCGGTCCATGCCCTCGGCCACCGCTGCTTCAGTCCACCTTCTCCTGCCCTTTATACCCACTTGGAGAAATTCCACTGATACAAGGATACTTGCAGGGTTAATCCTCCTGATACCAAGTCACACTTTAACTCCCTCCAGGCCAAGGATTAAAAACTGCCCATGCAGGGGTCAGTCCTGCAGCAGCAGACCCTGAGAGCTGAGGTGCCCCCCCCCACCCAAGTGAGGACAGGCTGCACGGGAAAGGGAGGGCCAGAGCCCGGAGCCAGGGAGCGGAGGAGGGGCAGCCCGGCCCGGCTGCTGTCCCCCCACCGAGCCGGCTCAGATCCCGCTCTGGGAACAGCTCAGCTGCGGAGGCAACGGCAGCCCCTCTCCTCCGGTGAAGGACAGCAAGCAGACGGACTCACAGACGGAGATCCTGGGCCTGCAAGTCTTCGGCCCCCAGCCGTCAGGCCGGGCCTGGCCCCCCCATGGCCTTCAATGACCTCCTGCAGCAGGTGGGGGGCGTCGGCCGCTTCCAGCGGATTCAGGTCACCCTGGTGGTCCTCCCTCTGCTCCTGATGGCCTCCCACAACACCCTGCAGAACTTCACCGCCGCCATCCCCACCCACCACTGCCGCCCGCCTGCCAACGCCAACCTCAGCAAGGACGGGGGTCTGGAGGCCTGGCTGCCCCGGGACAGGCAGGGGCAACCTGAGTCCTGCCTCCGCTTCACCTCCCCACAGTGGGGACCACATTCCGCCAATGGCACAGAAGCTAACGTCACAGGGACCACAGAGCCCTGCACCGACGGCTGGATTTATGACAACAGCACCTTCCCTTCCACCATCGTGACTGAGGTGAGGACCTGGGGCCCCCCGTCTGTGCACCATGAAGGCTCTGCCTTCCCCTTGGACACACACACACACACACACACACACGTGTGTGTGTGTGTGTGTGTGTGTGTGAATCTCAAGTTCTCAAGACGGAAAGATGGAGAAGGAGGTTTGACATGGGAGTCTGTGTAGCAAAAGTGGCTATGAGAGTTGAAAAGCTAAGAAAATTCTCTCAGCTCCTGGGACACAGAGGGTGACAAAGAGGGTGGCACAGCCCCCAGATGGCCCACCTGAAAGGAGGGGAAGGCACTCATCTGCAGCCAGGCTCATCTCTGCCTGACCCTTGCTCCCTCTCCCCACAGTGGGACCTCGTGTGCTCTCACAGGGCCTTACGTCAGCTGGCTCAGTCCTTGTACATGGTGGGGGTGCTGCTCGGAGCCATGGTGTTCGGGTACCTGGCAGACAGGTCAGTCCTGAGGAAGGCCAAGGGGCCGGGCTAGGGTCGGGGGTTCCTTGGCTGGGCACAGGGGGCCTAGGTGGGAGGCTAGCATTCCCACCTGGGGCTGGCTGGAGGAACTACAGCCCCAGCCTCGTAGTGTAGGAATCTTCTACTGAGTTGATGGCAATGCATGGCAACTCCATGGGCGTCAGAGTAGAACTCTGCTCCACAGGGTCTCAATGGCTGATCTTTCAGTGGAAATCACCACACCTTTCTTCCGAGGCCTGGTGGATTCGAACTGCTGGGCCTTCAGTTGGCAGCCTAGCTCTAGCCTAGCCTAGCACCACCCAGGCACCCTCCACTCCAACAGGAACCCTCCCAAGTCCTGGAATCCCATCCTGGAATGACCAGGACAGGAGGGACTGTGGCTGTCACCCAATCCTGGAGTTTTCCATACTTTTTTGCAACAACAAAAGCTCTCTCTTTGAAAGCTCAGTAAATTTAACAGATTAAAGCTGAATTGTTTTGAAGGAAGAGAATAGAGGTCCACAATTCTGCCAGTTCAGTCCCTGATTGCCCCAACACACTCACACACTCATTCGCATACAGGAGCCTCCAAGGCATTTTGAGGATCCAAGGGGCTCTGTAGGCCACAGTGTGAATGCCTCAGCTCCGGGCCAACCCAGGCATCCCACTGATGAGGCCGGGAAGGAGCATGCAGCAGGTGGCAGAGAGGGGGCAGAGAACAGGCTGTGGCATCGAATCCTGCCCTGCCACTCGCAGGCTGTGTGGCCTTGGCCAAGGCACTCCACCCTTCTTTCAAACGGAATAATAATCGTTCACCAAGAAACGAAACCAAACTCACTGCCATCTAGTGGATTCTGACTCATAGAAACCCCCATTGGGTTCCCAAGGTGGTCAATCTTTACAGAAGTAGATTGCCCCATTTTTCTTCCCCAGAGCAGCTGGTGGGTTTGAACTGCCAACCTTCTGGTTAGCAGCCAGATGCCTTAGCCACTGCACCAACAGAGCTGCTTGTAACTGTTCACAGTGCATGTGAAAGTGCCTCCTGCCCCCCACACATCTGCACAAAGCAGATGTTCAGCAAACATTGGTCTTCCCTCAACTCTCCCACCACCTAGTCAGTGGCCAGGCAGGACTAGAACCCAGGGCCCCTGGTGTCCAGTGTGCACAGTTCATGCCCGAGGGAACTCTCTGCTGGGTGAGGAGCTCCCAGTGCCACACACTTCAGCAACCGCCCCAAGGCCTCACCTGGGAGGGCTAGCACTCCTCTCCCTGGCCGGCTTGCCTCTCTCTTCCACCGCCTTGTCAGTCCCTCAGGGTCTCCCTTCCCTCCACAGGCTGGGCCGCCGGAAGATGCTGATCTTAAACTACCTTCAGACAGCCGTGTCAGGGACCTGTGCAGCCTTCGCACCCAACTTCCTCACCTACTGCACTTTCCGGCTCCTCTCGGGCATGGCGCTGGCTAGCATCGCCCTCAACTGCATGACACTGAGTGAGGGATACCAGGAGGGCAGCATGGGGGCCCTCCCCACTCCCCTCTGACCACCCAGCCCAGCAGCCCCTTCCCTGCCTCCCTCCTCTCCCAGCTCCACCCCTCCTGAGCCCTTCCAGCCAACACAACAGCTTTTCTCTCTGGCCCGTACTACCCTAACCCCTCATCAAACTCCGTCGCTGGGGCCAGGCGTGGAATATAAATGACTGACACAGGTGTGAGAGGCACTAGGGGGTGGTGAGGACTGTATCCAAAAGGCACACAGTGGACCCACAGCCACCAGGGAGGTTCCATGACTCTCAGAGTTCCCTTCTCCCTTTTTAAATGTAAAATCTCCCAATTTGTTAATGGTTGCAATTATCTCTAACACAGGGCAAGGCAGCATTGTGCAGACCAAGCACATGTCCACACTGAGTATGATCTGTCCATTGGCCACTAGTGTGACCCTCTGAGAGATCACCTTTCCTGTTCCTCAGACAAGGGCCCAGCAAGGAGAAGGGAAGAGACCGATCTAAGGCCATTCCTTAGTCTGAGGATTCTGGATCCCTTGGACTAGAGGAGTTAACTGGGACTTAGCTAAAACCAGGGCAGGACTTCTGAGGACTCTAGCCCCAAAGTCCAGTTGAATTCCCAAGTCCTCAAGATTCCACAAGGAACTGAGTTGGCTCTCTTCAGACCACAGCAGAGAGCTGGTCCCATCTCACCTGGCCTCTCAGGGATAGAGAGAAGCCACCACCTCTGTGTGGGCTACTGTGGCCGCTGAAGCTAGAGTCCAGCCCAGGAGGACCAGAGGGGTGGCTTCACTGACACAGATGAGGAATGTTCAGAAGGGAAGGGGTGCTAGCCAAGACAGATGGCTGGAAGGAGCAAAAAATATCAGGATGTGAAGGTGTCTGCTCCTGGGAATTCTGAACCCACTTTTCCATCTCTACCTCCACCAAAAGTCCCCCCATCCCTTACCTGACACCCAATCTGTAACCAAACCACACTTGAGGCACCTTCTATGGAACCTGGACAATGATCAGAGTTTGGCTGGAGGGAGGGCATTTGCCTGCACCAAGGATCTTCACCCACCCGGCTGTCCTATTACTTGCACTATCATGTTCTAACCCTCTTTCTAGACATGGAGTGGATGCCCATCCACACCCGGGCCTGCGTGGGCACCCTGACAGGCTATGTCTACAGCCTGGGCCAGTTCCTCCTGGCCGGTGTGGCCTACGCCGTGCCCCACTGGCGCCATCTGCAGCTGCTGGTCTCTCTGCCTTTCTTTGCCTTCTTCATCTACTCCTGGTGCGTGGACCCCGGGTGGGAAGCGGTGGCACAGGAGCTCACAGGGTTGCCAGGGCATCTCCCAGAGTGTGCCACACACCTGACCCCATAGAGTCAGAGAAGGTCAAGGCCACACCCAAGCTAACGCCATAGCCTGACAGATGGGGTAATAGAGGATTTCCTTCAGGGTGTCCTATGGTCCAGCTTCCTCCAGTTGCTCCCAGCTCCCCAGCCTGCCTCTGCGGCTCCGCCTACCCACCACTCAAGCTGAGCTCCTGAGTTGGGGATGAGTTCTCACCAAGCTGGGCAGTCCCTTGTGATCCTAGAGAGGGGGATGTGGCAAAGCCCCTGGGCTCCCAGCCTTTGACCAAATCCCATTACAAGGCCCAGCCTGGCAGACTGGAACTGGGGTCATGCCAACACTCACCTCCTCCCTGCTCCCAGGTTCTTCATTGAGTCTGCTCGCTGGTACTCTTCCTCTGGGAGACTGGACCTCACCCTGAAGGCTCTGCAGAGAGTGGCCCGGATCAATGGGAAGACAGAAGAGGCAGGCAAACTGAACATGGACGTGAGAACTTGAGATTTCTTGTGACTCCCCATCAGGGCTCCATCTTCCCCGACCCCCAATCCCTGAACCCGGGACTCAGGAGGCTTCCCTGATCAGGGGTTGGGCTGGGAAGAACCTCTGGAGGGTCCCAGGCCCTGAGCCCTGCCCGTCCCGGCAGGTGCTTCAGGCCAGTCTGCAGAAGGAGCTGACCACAGGCAAAGGCCAGGCCTCGGCCCTAGAGCTTCTGCGCTGCCCTACCCTCCGCCGCCTCTTCCTCTGCCTCACCATGCTGTGGTAGGCCCAGACACACTGACTGGTGGACAGAGAGACAGACACACCAAGAGCAAAAGGCCAGGAGGGGAGGAGCGGATGCAATGGGTGGAAGAGGCTAAATGAGGAGGAGAATAGGTCAACAGACCTCCACGAGGGACAGGAATCCCACACCAGGGAGAGACCAGAAGACCGGGCCCCTCAGCCAGGGCTCGGCCCTGGGTCCCAAACGGGGCACCCCTCTCTTCTTCTTCTCCCCTCACTAACCCCGTCCCAATAAGAAAACACTTCATCAGGAGTGGTGTTCCCCAGAGTCAACAGAGCACATCAGGAAAGCAAAGACCAGTCTGCCTCACAAAACATTTAGAAACTTTTCAGGCCTGAGGAGCCTGAGCGAAACAAAGGCACAGACAATAAGATACTAAAGTTTGTTTCCAAGAGTGCTTTGGGCCAAGCTGATACAAGCCAAACGCTGCCTTTTCCTTTGTCATATTCCCCGACATCCTTCGTATGTGTTACCCTCCTCCCCATCACCATAGCAACCTCTACCCTAGTTAAGAGAAGTATGGTCAAAAGAAACATTCTTGCCAATGACCTCTTTACTTCCAATTTGGGGGGATTCACCCTTAGTTGTAGGTTCTACCTAGTGACTTGAGCTTCCTTTTGTGGGCCCTTGGGATCTTAACAGGTCAACATTCATCCCAGGACCATGGACAAGTCCCAGGAAGGCCTAGTCTCTCCTAACATCTTGGCCCTAGAGATACGACTTGAATACCCACCTGCCCACCTCCCTTAGTGCAGCATTAGTAGATAAGATACAGACTAAAACTACGTAAATATTACATAGCAACTAAGTACAAGTTCCCTAGTAAATCAGGACACTAGTCATCAGAAGATTGGGAAACTTGGGGTAGGGGACCACTACTCCAATTCTTGAGTTGGATACTGAAAGTCTGAAGGCTCCAGCTTCTTAGAGGATACCCTGTGATGCTTACCCCTATTCTGAATGAGCACCCCCCCTTTAAGCCTGCCTAGCAAACCCATACCCTTTATCCCTCCTCACTAGGTTTGCCACTAGTTTTGCTTACTATGGGCTGGTCATGGACCTGCAGGGCTTTGGGGTCAGCATGTACCTGATCCAGGTGATCTTTGGCGCTGTGGACCTGCCTGCCAAGCTCGTGTGCTTCCTTGTGATCAACTCCCTGGGCCGCCGGCCTGCCCAGACAGCCTCACTGCTGCTGGCGGGCATCTGTATCCTGATCAATGCGGTGGTACCCCAGGGTGAGCACCCACAAGCCCTTGGCCCCTCCTTCATCTTGGATTCCGTCCTCAGACGTAGTCCAACTTTTCAGAAGGGAGGGGAAGTCGATTCCTCCCAGCTCCTACTCCCAAGCTCCCTCTGTTCCCGCTCCCTTCTCTCTAGATCGGTCCATTGTTCGAACCTCCCTTGCCGTGCTGGGGAAGGGCTGCCTGGCTGCCTCCTTCAACTGCATCTTCCTGTATACCGGGGAGCTGTACCCCACAATGATCCGGTAAGTAGAAACCTGGTGGGGAAAGGGGTTAGGGTCTTTGTGCGAGACATTCTCCTGCACACAGGTCAGACCCCAGAGCATAGTCTACATGCTCCAAGCCAAAGGCCCCTTTCCAACACCCATTAGAGTAAAACACTCAACACACATTTCCTGGGGGACTGGCTGGGTGACACCAGCCCTTCTCCAAGCCCTTACCTGAGCCTAGAAGGGAACCATCAATAGGAGCAGAGTAGAAAGCCCAGATGACACATCTCAGAGGCAGTGAATCAAAGCCCCCCATTGACCTCCACCAAATCTAAATCCATCTATAAACCAAGTGGTCCATCTGAAAGCAAAGACCACAAACATGAAAGTCATTTCCTCTCATGGGAACCACACTTTAAATGGTGGTGCAGGAGTACGGAGAAGCATAGCACTGGTTTCTGGAGGGTCAAGGTGGGGGTGGGAGTGTTTCTGCGTTAAGAAACAAAAGTCACATGTCATAGGAAAGAAGGACACAAGGAAGAGGTGACTACAGGGAGGAAGTGGGAAGAGAGCTGGTGCACTGTGGGGAATTGCAGTCTAGGCCACGAAACAAAATGTGTATGAACTGCTATATGGAAAATGAAGTTGCCCTGTAAACTTTCATGCAAATCACAATAAATTTATATAATTTTGATGCACAAAAAAAAAAAAATCACGTCAGTTTAAGAATGGGAGGTAAAATTCACATAAGCTTTTTAGAGAAAGCATTGTTGTTATTGTTATGTGCTGTCGAGTCGGCCCCGACTCACAGCGACCCCTCCTTGGGTCTCTGAGGCGGTAGCTCTGTGAAAGTAGGTTGCCCCACCTTCCTTCCAAGGAGTGACTGGTGGATTTGAACCGCCAGCCTTCTGGTTAGTAGTCAAGTGCCTTTGGCACTATGCTACGTTAGATATCAAAAAATGTCAAGTTCCCCTTGGCTACTTGGATAAGAACCTGGGGGGTCAGTGGTTACTGTCCTGTGCCTTTACAGAATTTCAGGGAAAGGGTAATGTATAAAGTTGACTCTGTGCCAGGTATTGTTTAAACTTTTTATAAATGGTAACACATTCAGTACTCATAACAAGCCTATGAGGTAGATGCTATTATTATTCCCATTTCACAAATAAGAAAAACAAGGCACAGAGAGGTTATGTGATTTGCCCAAGGTCACACAGCTAGTGAGTAGTGAAGCTGGGATTTGAACCGAAGCAGTTTGTCTTCTGAGCCAATGCTTTCAATCACTGCTTTCATGAAACATGTTCTTAACATGCAGATTCCAAGTCCTCCTCTCCCCGCCTTAAGATTCTAATCCCATAGGTCTGTATGGAGCTGGAGCAACTGTAACTCAAAACACCCCAGGTGATATGAGAATCATTGGTCTAACCCAAATGTCTCATTTGACAGTTAACGAACCCGAGGCCCAGAGAAGAAAAGGGATGTGTCCAAGGTCATACAGCAAGTAAAGGCTGTAGTGCCTAAGGCATTTGACTGCTAACCAGAAGGCTGGAGGTTCAAACCCACCAGCCACTCCTCGGAAGGAAGATTGGGCAATCTACTTC